ATCTTGCTCTTTATCCTCCCCCTACTCTTCCAGGGCCCTCGAGTTTCTTATCTCCCGATTATTCTTACACGTTTGGGTCCTCGCGAGTTTTCTCGTTCGAGAGTCTTGAGCCCCTAACACACTGACTTGTACCAGTTGCACGTGTACCAAACATACGAAAATATACATCGAGTTTCCGGGTACACGCACATTGGGAATTAATTAATATGGGATCGATCTTTTTTTTTCGGCACATCTACATCATTATGTAAGTATGTTGATCGAACTGGCTGTACCATATAGTTGAATGTTGATGTTGACATTTGCTTGGAAGCACGATGAGCTCGACACAACCTGACACTTATATCTTACGTTTAATGATTATCATTAATTTTCATCATCACCTTATATACGTAGCTTCTTATCTTATAAACCACACCTTTTCTTCTCCCTATACGAGGTAAAAACACTTTTCTCTTTTTCCGGAATTACAGATTAGAACGAAAAAAATGTATACAATGTATGCACGTCACATTGTATTTTTATGTTATCATACGTAGTTCAACTGTACTTTAGCCATTGTATTATCTGTCCACTTTATTTTTTGTAACACGCGAAAATAGCCTCAAGGCGTTTGCAAGCAATTGGCACGAAAAACTATTTGAGGAGCAAACGATAGTTTTTACGTTCAATTAACTTTTTCGACAACAAAAAAAAAGTGTCTCTTTGAAACACTGCAACTCGATTCGTCGTTTGATTTTGTTTTTTATTTATTTATTTATTTTTTTTTTCGTTTTTCATTAAGACGAGGGTCAGTGCGAGGATGCCCACGAGCGCTGAGAAATTGCTCGTTGAAACCTTATCTCGAGCTCTCAACTTGCTGCCGCGGTTGCTATGATTACACGTCGCTTGCGCAAACGCACTTTTTTTTTGTGCCTCCACTGATATTGGTGCTTTGATTACTTTTTGATTGTAAAAAAAATCCACAGTAGGTATATCCAAAGCGTGAAAAAAGATTGATTGCACATTTTAAAAATTAACAATGAATCAGTCATCGTTGAAGAGGAACAAAATAAAAGGATACCTTTTACGCAAAACATAAATAATGCCTGTAGCAATTGTTTTGAAAGTCGGATTTCCCCTTATCATTTAACTTTTTCCCAAATTTTTGTGCCCACACAGCATGTAATTTATGTTTTTTACTCAGTTGGCTCTTCTTTCCGCTTTTCACAGGTACTCATCGCCGGGACCTTTTAGCGTACATATATAATATAAGGATATTGATGTCCATATGTCGCAGCAATTCTTGTTTATCTTCATTTGATTTATCGCGTAATCAATCCCACTCCGCGAGCTTTTTCTTGCAATCCAAGCTTTGCTGTGTTTTACCGCATTTAATGAGATGGAAAACTATTAGGATGTAATATAATGTGTACAACGTATATAGTACCTAATGGCAAACAACAATCACAAAGAAAAAGATACTTTGCACCACCCTCAAAGTCCTTAAAAATAAAAGGAAAAACTCGAGTCGAAATTTATACGATTCCTTATATGTAATGTGCGTTTGAGCGCATGCATGTACTTGTTAACAACATTATTGTATGGTTAATCACTCCCTGGACTTACATAAGGCAGTTTTCCACACGCAAACATTGGGGTGGGGCTAAAAATGACTTCTCTTGGTCTATAGGCAAAGCTCAATGTACTGATAAGTACAGCATCTTTTGCACGCGGACGCACACATACGGAGTGCAAGAGAAAGAAATTGAGCGCAGAGACGTGTCATGGTGCGACAAAAGGCTTGTTCGCGTATCAGGAAACAATTTAAAGGGACAGCCGGCATTGTTAGAAAATATATGCACATACACGTGCGGTGTCCTACTTATATATATACTTGTGATGAAGGCCATAAACGAGACCCGATGAGGCATGGAAATTGTTGGGAATCTTTTGTTTGGGGTTTAGTTGTATATGAAAAAAATATGAGATACATACTACAGCTTCTGTACACAAGGAAACATAAGTATCTACACGTGTACATTTTTCTCCCCATTTTGCTGTTCACTATGACACTCTATAGACTTTTGTTATTTAGCAGCTTATTGTCTCCAACGAGAAAACGCAAAAATAAAAAATTACATTGGCCAAATACTTACTGTCTCCTAATGACGCGGTACCGCCTACATGGACCACTCGCTCTTCTCTGCATGGGCTACATTTTACTCGATAATGAGCAAGAGGAAGTGAGATACAGAGGCGCATACCTACTCGGGGAAGACAATCACCAATCTCGCAGTTTAGTGGGGCGGCAGAGCATGACATGCCTGTTTATTATTTTTTGTTTTCAAATGTTTCTTCGACCAAATATATGCCCTGTACACAATAATTGTATGATATTCCATAGCTGATACATTCATATTGCTATTGGTAAAAAAAGTATCGTTCGGTGAGCCGAAAATCTTTAACATTAACTGTATTTACTGGGGATCCCATTCAAAATTTAATTTAAATTCAAATGTTCGTTCTCTATATAGAGTTACACAACTTTCGTACGATTGAATTATACCCCCGGTATAAAATAGCTATACATAACAATAAAAGTAGGTACCAGCTCTTCTTTCGTTCACTCGACTCTGTTATCACCACCGCACTTATCGCAACTAAGTACACATAATATATTATGTATGTGTTAAACGATTCGTGTTTCATTTTCATCACATGATCACATCTTTCGCTCGCACACATTTGTGACTTTTAGGTACATTTGTATATAGATAAAAAGTATGTGTATATATATACCCGCGTGTGTGTGATACTTATATTGCTCTTCGGGTTTTTGCCCAAAGTATGTTTACAATGTTGCTGCTCTTTGGGTAAATCCGTAATTTTACGGCACAACAAAGTATGTAGCATCATCAACGTCTGCATACGTATGGATCAATGACAATGTTTTTTTTTCTTTTCTTTTTTCATAAATATGCATTTTTATACTCAGTGATGTAAAACAAGCATACAAAAAATACAATGTGCTTTCTCCAGCTTGTGCAATCCGGTGCAACCGCACAACATCAGCATTTCGTGATTGCAAAAAACGTTTTAAATAAATCTTAACAGAGTACATCATCAAACAGTGCATGGGGCGAAGAGACTCTCTGATCAAAATACGCGTCACATTGTACATAAGTAATCTACTGGCCACGAGGCCATTTTTTACAAGAAATATTACGAGATGATATTGAATAGTATGGTGAGGTGGTATATTATTATAAACGTGTGGTCCTAGCACCTCTTCCTTGTTTTTTGAGGACCTGACAAAACGATTTCTCTGTCAACGATTCCTTAAATTTGTCAATACACTTTTTTTGAAATGAAAGAACTAAAATGGCAAGTCACCTCCACTCAATCATAGAGACACGAAAAAAACATTTTAATCGTAATCGGCGCAGTACATTTCGTTCTGTTGTCATAAAGTAGCAGAGAATTGAGCCAAAATAAAGATATAGCTGTTCAGTAAAAATAAACTCTCTCAGTTGTTACATATACTTGTTACATAAGTATAAACGCTAAATGTGCACATATAAGTTTATACACGCACTTACTGCACAGCTGGTACGCAGATATTCAAAATATGCGCGCGCTTCAAAGTTCCAGCGAACATCCAAACCGCCGAAGGAAACGAATAGAACAAGAGCTGAGACCCGAGGTGGTTGAAAATCTAAACCAGCCGTCACTCTCACCAGATTTGAGAAATTGTATGGCTCTTGAAGATCTAAAATATTTTTTTGCAATAGTGTGCGGAAAATGGGTGTTTTCCGCACTGGTATTAGTGTGGAAAATCGATTTTCCCACATAGTGTGCGACAAAGGTGTGCGGCAAAAGTTTTTGTCGCACAGTGTGTGGAAAAAGTGTGCGGCAAAGGTTTTTGCCGCACAGTGTGCGGAAAAGGTGTGTGGAAAAGGTTTTGCCACACACCGGAAAAAATTTTGCTACACACTGGAAATCAAAATTCAAACCTATTTTGTACCTATTTTCCTCACACATTGCGAAAAAACTTGTACGCAACTCGTGCGGGACGATTTCCCGCACTCGTGTGATAGACTCGCACTCGTGGCCGGTGACGGTAACTTGTACCTTGCGATCACACTCGTGCTACGCACTTGTGTGCTTAACTGGTACTCGTTCCCGTCAACTCCGGCACTCGTGTGAGTCAATCACTACTCGTGCGGGAAATCGTCTTTTCTGCACTTGTTACGTAAATAACTATTATCATGTTTCATTTTGGTAAAGAGTTATGTAGTTAACAAAGTAGTGCCATGTAGTTAGTTTTATAAACCTGCCACAACTTTGATCAACAGATAGCAAATGAATAGCTGTACTTACTTATACAATTTGCGGCAAGATGAAAATTGATATTTTACTTCAAAACTGACCGTAAAGTCATTTTTTTTTTTTTTTTTATGGTCAAATTTGAAGTAACAAATTAACTTTTATCTTGCCGCAAATTAGATAATTTAGTATTTACTATTTAATTTCTATCCATTGATCAAAGTTGTGGCAGGTTTATAAAACTAACTACATAGCACTACTTAAATTACCACACAACTCTTTACCAGAATAAAATATGACAAAATTGTTTTGGCTCCTGACGAATCATAAGATTTTTAAATTCTGGTGAGGGTGGAGGCTGGTTTAAATTTTTGACCACCCTCAGGCCCCAGCTCTTGTTCTAGAGTGGAAATGCTACGAACGGGTCGGTGCAGCGAATCATCGTATTTTGTGTATACTGCACCCTCTCGTACAGGCCACGAGCTATACAGCAGTGGACAGAGACAGAGTCCCAGTATAAGCTATAGTTATACTAATAGTGAGTCTTACTAGTAAGTACTACGCATGTACTCACTCCCTTCCCCTGGGACTCCCCCAGTACAGTAACAGTGTTGTTACAGTACAGTGTAGTTGCGTAGTAAATTCCACCATATAGCTGACTAGGCAATACGGCAGTAGTCCGCGCAGTTTACTCGAGTTTACATTGCGCCGCGCGCGAGCTCCCGTCGTTATTAAACCTCTCTCTTTCCAACTCGTTCGAAACGGTGCTGCAGTATCGAGCGCGTGCAAGCGAGACGGAACGTATCTGCCAAGCCAAGCTTCGTCTCCGACAAATCCTAAAGCGAACGAGCAGGCAGAGTTGCCAGGAGTTGCGGCAAAGCCAGAAGTAGACAGAGGGCCGACAAGCCCGGATCCGCGCGTACATTCAGCTAGCCAGAGCAGTTCTTGTTCGTCGTGGCAATAGAATCAAAGATGGCGGCTGACTCGGGTATGGAGACGTGTCCCTCGCCGGAAATAGTTGACTCGAGGAAGCGGCCCCTCGACAGCGACGTCGAGAACGGCTCGACGAAGCGCTCCCACTATGGCACAGGTAGGTCGATCATTTTTTTCTTCCCCGTCACTGTCAACATTGTCAACATCACCAGTGCCCATTTGTTTGCGTGCGTGTTCATCTTGCCAATGTAGGCATCATCCCCACAAACAGTTGACATATCCAATGTACCGTACACTTTATTCATTTTTCGTTTCCCTTCGTACTCGATAAATGATTTTTTTTTCTTCAACTGCCAACAGTCGAGTCCATATATTTACACACATGGTTGAAAAGAAAAACAAGGTGTGTTGTTGCACGTCACACCGGCCAAGAGCCAATTACAGTTGGAGGCTGAGCTTCAGCCATTTTAATCTTAATACCTCGCGCGGGTATGTGCAATATGGATCACCTCTTGAATACGCGTCTGCAGGAATATACCAATTTTGTGTCTATATTTGAACATGTTCGACCCTTATCTTCCGTCGACCGTAAAGCTCACTCTCTCCTCTCTGCGTGTGTACGCGTGCTTCTGGGTTTGGTTGACAACCACTGTAATCAATGCGCTATCGTAGCGTCGGGGCGAGGGGGGGACCGCGTTGCCTTTTTTTGCTTTTTGATCAGCTTTTTCTATTCCAAGCTATCGTTGCATGGCTGCAGAATATATATGGCAGCCCCCCCAAGTTAGGGAGGGGTCTTTAAAAGGCTGAACTTGCAAGCTTCTCTCTTGCCGCGTCCTCTAAACTATTGCGCGGTTCTCAGCATCAAGGCCTCGTTGATGTTTTAAGGGCACTTGTTTACGTTACGGCAATTCACCGTTCGACTCCATTTTGACAGTTCAATGTTTTATCCGTTAGTGATCATTGCGATCGTCACGTTTATTAATACGTTGTGTAGTTGACCTGCGGATTATCGGATTGTTGCAATTTCTGAGCGTGACTAGCAATAACTACGCATTAACTTACGTCTGCAACTCTTTGATACATCAGTGCTTCTGATTAACCGTTTACCGCTCGTTTGGCTCAAATTTTTCTCGTTTGACTGTTGGTAGTGGTGGTGTTATCAATGGTCTTTAATCCGGGAAAACCCCATGGCATTCCTTCAATGCGTAATGTAACATGCGATAACGCTCACACATACATGTAGCGACCATGTACATCAATGGTAAACATGGTTAGTGCGGCAAAACTAGGGCACCTATGTATACTCGCCCGGGGCGAACAGAAAACACAAGCTATACATTGATTTAATCGACTTACGTTTAGCGAAATATTTGATTGTGTTTAGCAACGCCGGTGGCTGTGCTAATTCATCGATTTCAGGTTCGTACAGTTGGTACTCGATGATTGTTAACACTATTAGAAAACAACTGATAACTGAATTCCATCAATAGGTATAACTGTCCAACGATTGTATGAACGTATACGTTGCGCGTTTCGCTCATTGTTTTGCCCCTGACGTGACCTACAAACCACTCGAGCGTTCATGATTCTGCTGTAGGGGGAAAAACTGTTCCATCGTGGCGTTAGACAAATGCCCCCATTTTGATGTCGTACAGCAATTTTTTTTTTTTTTTTTTATTAATTTATGTTACCTATGTGTCGTGTCGTATGGTTATGTAATTTTGTATAACGTGTGTAACGTAAAAAAGGCCTACAGCTGCAGTTAAGTGAGAAGCGCGAGCTCTTGTTTGTTTGCGGTCGAGTTTGCGGTACACAAGCAAGTCGACATGGCATGGCAACCTCGTCAACGTAGATCCTCTCCACTCCCCACCTATCCTCTATCGATGTACACAGCCTTGCGCGATATTTCATCGACGTTGTCGTCATCGCCTCTCTCTACATCACCGCCCCTTGAACGTGCAGCCGCTGCTCTAGGAGATGACGTTCAGGTCGCACTGGCCCTTCAACGCCCCTAATAGCATCACCAGCTGATCCTTATCTAACGTACACACACATACACACATACAAACTGCAATGTTAGCAAGCGTATAGTAACAGCCGAGCATGCGCGCGTCCCGAGAGTCAGTCCGAGTCATCGCATTTATTACTATGCGGTGGGCTTTCCTGAGGGAAATCCGAATATCCCTTCTTCTCTTGCTCTATCTAATACTTATGGTAGCAGAGACGGTGAAACGGAGAGAAAAGTAGATATAATGCCTGCACACGGTTCTTTCCCCTCTCTCGAAGCGGCTGTTATCGATTACTTTTTTTTTTTCGTTGGCACAAAGTTACACCCCCTCACATGCAGGGTAAGTATATCTAATGCAAGCATTCGAGCTGCTCTTCCTTATCGTGTCTTCTTATTTTTTACCTCCCCCTGCGTAGGTTCTCGACGTGTTTGTCTCTCCGGTTCACTTGTTCTCTCTGTCGTGACTTTTTTGTGCTCCCTTTAAAAAGCACGTATACACGGTGCAATCAGCTGTACGTTGTTCCGGGGTGTCTGGTCCTCTTTGGGGCTTCTTGGGGGCACGATCTCAAAAGAGGCGAGAAACGGGGCGCGAGATCTTTTCTCCCTTTTCCCGGACACTTTCTCGCTCCCCTGTATTGTTCGAGTCGGCTGGTTGGCCCCTTTTTACCGTTGCTCTCGGCTCTTATACTAGTCGAGAGGTAATTATTTTAATGCTCGATGCTGGATGCACCCACTGGCCTCGAAAATTTGTCCCTCGTTTACGGGAAAACATTTTTGCGCATCACCGTATTGTGACACCACTCGAGGTACTGTCCCATTTCCAGCAGATGGCTTGTTGTTTACAAGCTTTTCTAAAGACCGTATGATAATCGTAGTCTTGATGAACAAATGTAATACCTATACAAGGAGATGGAAGGTAAGTGTGTATGCATCTGATGATTGTGGAGTGGAGTACTGTAGTCCAGTATAGCGGAGCTTTATCTTGTACACGTACATGTTGTACGTGTAAAGAGTTACTGCTCAAGTCCATACAGGGCATATAGTAGTCGAGCTTTAAAGCTTAATGTTACTTGTGTTTGTCGTGGGCAAAACCATACCGAAAAAAAACTTGTGCGCTCCCGTTCTTAATTGTTGGTCGTTTGCGTGTTGAACTTTTCTTCTTTTTTTTCACATGCGCTCCTGTTTTACTTTTACCGAGTTATATTTGCTATTCGTGTCGTTTCATTTGTATGCACTGCAGATACTTAAGTGAATGTGATATAATTGAAATTCCAGGTCGAAGTAATATTTAAAGAAGAATCCAGAAATCAAGTTATACTTTTAAAATGAAAGTTTTACTTTTGCACGGTTTGATTTTTTTTTTCCTCCTTAAAACATTCCTTTTCAATTCAACATGTACGGACGACAAAATCGTCTTCGAAATGTATAATAACACGAATTGACTTATTTTTCTTCCTTGTGATTGCTCAAAATTTTAAAGATCAGTCTCAGCATTGACTAATATTGTTTTACAAGTTAGTTAAACTACGTTTAATGAAGTTCAAGGTATTCAATCGGTACGATGGATTTAGATTTTGTAAATTAAAAGTAAAAGCGCCGAAGATCTACAGCACGAAGGTACATTTTATTTTGTTTGCAAGCAGTTGTATGAAAAAATTTCTGGACAATAAAACATTACTACCACAGTTGTGCCTACTTTATCTGAATTTTACCCTAATATTAAATATATGTTCACGATGGATTTTCCAAATGAATATTTTTATCTTTGGTTTTCCCAGGTGTATGATGATGCAACGACCAAAACACTTTGAATTAAAGTTAAATTTTCCAACACTTACAATTTCTTTCAACATTAAAAAAACAAATAGTCTTTTAAATTTATTTCCTACAAACTTTTGCATTTATTAAACTGCCAATCAAATTTCCCTAGAAAAAGTCCCGACAACACAGTGGCAGCAGGAAAACAGCGTTTCACTCGACGTTTAAAGTCTTACCATTGTCGAAACAATTAAACGTTGCAAGACTCCGTGTCTTTTCTTCTAGAAGCCCAGCATAGTAGGCGAAAGATGGCTTCTTCGGGCGACAGAGTGGCTTCCATTACCGTGCGGGGTTGCGTAAGCAAAGATAATTGCACGTACGAAGCCTCAGTTGAGTATACACTCGCTGGCGATGGACGACCATGTAGTTGTTACCCGCGAAAATTCAATTTCCCAAAGTGCTTTCACCGGCCAGGTATGGTTGACAAAATTTATTCGTCCACACAGAAATTGTCACTCGCGCGCTCGACTTTCCTTCAATGATTACACACACACACACACACACACACACACACACACACACACACACACACACACACACACACACCGTTGGGCGGTTTTGTTCTTGCTTTCCAATAGATTTCTTTTTTTCGTTTCGCGTTGATGCATTGCAACCGTTGTTGCAGTGCAAGTATTATTTGAGCAGGCAATACCCGATGCCTCGCTAACAATTGTTGCTTTTGCGGTCAGTGATTTTTCGCTGTCTAACCACTGCGTCGTCGCTGATTTTCAATAATAATAAAAAAGTTGCAGTGGCTTGAAAAAAAGCTTTTTGTTTGATGTATCTGAAATCGATACTTTCTAAATTCAATGTAAAAGGTCGCTCGAGAGTTTTACCCGCGAAATGACACGAGCATCCGTCCGAAATAAAAATCTACGTGTAAAAAAAGTATTTACCAGCTAAAGTAGAAGCTGCATTTAATATATCAATTATTTAACGTGTGTTAAAATACTATACTCGTCCGATTAAAAGCGCTTATAAAAAATCGGTTGAAAAATCGTATTAATTGTTTACGTAAAATCTCATGAATTCGGCTCTCCAAGCATTTGTTCTATTTCAGTCGTCGAATGGTAAAAAATCTGCACCAACATCGCGGCTGTCCATATAGCAATCAATCGTCCTCGATAGATCGCGACTCTTTAAACCGGTCCAGTCCATTAGCTCGAATTATGCGCACAGCTCCGCCGCTTTTAGAACTTGTGTACTCAAACTTTTTGTTTTCGCTTCCCTTCCGCCGGTGAGTGAAATTGAATTTACTTCAACAACTACTTCGCTCGGCGGTGAAATAAAACAGCAAGTCGCATCGCACCGTGTGCACACATTAGTCCTTG